ACTGAAAACTGGTTATTATTTGGATTTATTAGACACTTTTGTTGTACCGTCCTTTAGACGGAATTTAATTTATGTTTCTGTATTAGACAAATTGGGATATTGTTGTTCTTTTGGAAATATGAAGTTTAGTATGTAACTCTGTGAGTAACGATTGTGTAAAGATATGTTCAACTGATTATCTTTTGAATACTGAACTGAACTGTTTACTGAACTGATATTGTTTACTGAATGAATGTATGTCCTATCTTCTGAACTGTATTGTGGCATCCTTAGCACCTACTGTTTACTGTTACTGTGACAGAATTCTCTGTCGGTTCCCTCGTGGAACCACTACTGTTTACTGATTGATGGCCATCATTACTGTTCGGTCTTTTAAGACCTACTGTTACTGTTATGCTAATGGATGTACCACATATGACTGTTTACTGTACTGAGCAACTGAATTACTGATTGAAATGAACTGTTTTCATACTGTAAGGACATTCATTCTAAACCTCTTTACGCTTTATGTTATTCACTGGGCTTTAGCTCACTGTTTATATATATATGTAGGTGTACAGGCACCAGATCGGAGCTAGGAGCGTCAGGGTAACTCCAGTTTTGTCAAGCCAGCCTTTGTGCCTCACTGCGAGGTTCCGAGTTGCCATGCTATGGCTTTGGGGTGTTTTGTTTGTTTTCCCCCGCCTGTCTTCATACTGTCTAACTGTCCTGTACAGACTGAATGTTTACCGTACTGTTATCAAGGGATTAGGTCCCTGTACTGTGTGACTGTAAATTTTGTATAGACTGTACTGTTTGTATATGTATGAATGCATGTAAAATCTTTTTGGCATACAGACTGTCACAGCTCATTGGACATTGTTTAATTACTGTATTGGCTTCCGCCAGGCCCTGTACTCTGTTTTACTGTATTACTGTTAAGCAGGCCTTCGGTAATCTCGGATTACTGGCCGGTTACGGTGCTAAACCCATAGGGCCGGGTTTGGGTCGTGACACAGATAATGGGCCAACCCATCTCCATAAATGATCCTGAAAAAGACCGAGCCGAGGCACATTAGTACCGAACTGAAGTACATGAGTACTGAGCTGGAGAAACCTCACAAAGAAACGTGGGAGCTGTGAGTGCAAGCATGTGCAGGTTGCCACCTCAGCTGGTCCCCCACACCTAGAATCATGGGAGTTGTTGAACCAAAGGAACGTGATTTGTTATCAGCATGCCTACAATGAGTATATACAATCAATGACAACTACCAGGTGGTCCCTCACCTGGAGCAATGCTGAAAGGACACCTGGCAGCATCCACATTCCATGAAACCACCTTGAGAAGCAAGTAAGGAATACTATATATATTTCATGAACTTCACATTGAAGGTAACTAAATTGAACTGAACTAAGGAGAACTGTTCTAATCACACTTAACATACATTCCTTCTCCGATCACTGATTCTCATGCCAGAGGGGTTATCCGGCCAACCCCGGTCGGGCAGCTCTAACGGTGCTTCTTGTGGCAGGAGTCCCGGTCCTTGGATAATCCAACTGAGTGCAGAGCTCCGATCCACTTTCATCTAGTGCGGAATCTGGTACGCACAATTGGTGTGGTGAGTGTGGATCACTTTATCTTTGAGCTCTGCATTCAGTCCCGGCAATGGGGATTGAGGACATTCCGCCTTCAGCACATACTCCACAGACGAAGAAGACGAAGGACAAAGGTTTGGCACTCCCAACAGTTTTGGAGGAGCAAACTGGAAATAATAATCAAACCCCCGAATCCGTCGAGCATCGACTGCCCTTCGCCGGAGGTTCTTCTCATCATTTTCTTCTGGAAAAGGATTATATAGATCGAATTATAGATTCCATGGGAATGGAGATACAGGAATTGAAAGCTCAACTTAAGAAGGTGTTGGGTCATCCGACGGAAAAGAGGACGGAAGCAGAGCCCTCTCGTTTACAACAAAGGAGCTCGTCTAGAGAACTACCAGTGAAAAAATTCCCTAGGAATGACTCTGGGCAACGAAGCCTACCCATCCCGGCACAGAGTGAAGCGGCGAGTAGCTACACCCGTGGGTCACGCCGGAGGAGGGCCAAGAGGTAGAAGACGGTTAGTCAACAAACTGAATACCCTCCTCTGGACCATCGTACTTGGCTGATTGGCAATAGGCAAAACGAGCAACATCGAGATCATCTGGACCGTACTGTTCACCAGAGAGAACATCGAGCGCTGGACAGGCTCGTCTCTTCGCCATTCTTTTCGGAAATTGAGACCATGAGACCTCCAAAGAAGTTCACTCCACCAAAGTTCACTTCGTACGATGGGAAATCGGACCCTCTGACACATATCAGCCATTTTAGACAGATGATGTCCCTATGGAGCCGAGATGAGGCACTGATGTGCAAAGTCTTCCCATCCAGCTTGGGATAAACCGGACTCCGATAGTTCGATCGACTCCCCACTGGATCAATTCATGGCTAGAAGTAGCTCTCCGAAGAGTTCCTAGCCAAGTTTGTCTCTAATGCTAAGATCCCAAAAGAGTCGGATACACTGTTCAGCCTCAGGAAGGAGCAAGAGGAAACGCTGCGCAATTATGCTAGGAGATATTGGGAAGAGTCTAATGATCTGGAAGAAAATGTGTGCAGCGAGCAGATGGCCGTTATGTCCTTCAAACATGGTCTGCGCCCGGAAAGTAAGTTGAGACAATTACTTACCAAGCGTTCGACCACAGCTTTGAAAGACTTGCGCGCCAGGATTGAGCAGTATGCTCGTCTCGAAGACGATCAGATCCCTATCGAGGTAGTGTCAGCAGAACAAATAGCCCGGCAGAAGAAGAGAACGGATCGAGGAGAACACCGAGGGATTGCAGTGAATAAGGTGGATAAGTCCAAATCCCATGAAGCCGTTATGACTGTGTTCAAAGAACCAATTTATCGAATCCTGGAAAAGATCAAGAGAGAGCCCTTCTTTGTTTGTCCGCCGAAAATGTTGGGAGATCCAGCTCGGCGCAATCAGAAGCTCAGATGCACCTACCACCAAGACAGGGGACACATGACTCAGAACTGCAGGGCACTGAAGCAACACTTGGAAGACTTGGTGGCAGCTGGACACCTGAGGGAATACATTGATTAGGATAAGGAAGTGGCCGAGCTGGGGAACCCACCTCCAGAAACAAATATTGAGCATCCACCATGGCTGATAATAAATGTGATCCATGGGACAGCGGCTCAGGAATCTGAGGAGGCACTGAAGGAAGAGATCGCTAAGGCTGCGCAAATTCAATGAATCATGTCAGTGGAGCCGGCATTGAAAAAGGTGCGTACAGTACCTAAATCCCCCTTGTGCACTGTTTCATTTACTAGCAAAGATTTAGAAGGCATACAGCACCCACATACTGATGCATTGATTATAACTATTGGGATTGGGAAACGATTTGATGTAAAACGAGTCCTAGTAGATCAGGGCAGTGCGGCAGACATACTGTATTATGATTTGTTCAGAAAGCTCGGCTTCTCCGAGCAGCATCTCACCCCAGCGGCAGCCCTATTGGTCGGTTTCAATTCACAGCCGGAATGGCCGCTCGGCAGAATAGTATTGCCAGTTGTAGCGGGGACAAAAAACCTCCAGATAGAGTTCTTGGTTATTAATACACCATCCCCTTATAACGCCATACTTGGCCTTCCGTGGATTCATCGAATGGAAGTAGTCCCTTCAACCTATCACCAGTTCATCCGTTTCCCAACGGAACACGGAGTAGAGCAGATCTCAGAGGATCAAGTTGTGTCCAAACATTGTTTCATGGCAGCATTAAAGGCAAAGCAACTCTGCAATCGGGTATAGACGGTAGAAGTGGCCGGACAGCTAGTCTTGGAAGATGTAGGGGGAACTCCAGAGAAAAAGATGGTAGAGGATTTGGAGAAAGTCTTGGTAAGAGAAGATGACCTGGAAAAGTACTTCCTTATCGGTACCTCGCTAGGCGCTGATGAGAAACTTCAGCTGTTAGAACTGCTGAGGGAAAATATGGAGGTATTCGCGTGGTCAGCATATGATACTCCAGGGTTGGACCCAGAATTTGCTTGCCACAAGCTCAACATCAATCCTTCAGCTCGACCCATTGTATAGAAAAGTCGGAGATCCTCAGTTGAGCACACCGAAGCAGTAATTGCTGAAGTCGAAAAACTCCTGGCCTCGGGAGCAATCAGAGAAGTTCAGTACCTGTAATGGCTATCTAACACAGTTGTAGCCAAGAAGAAGAACGGAAAATGGAGAGGTTGTGTCGATTTCACTTGCTTGAACAAAGCCTGCCCTAAAGATAGTTTTCCGCAGCCTTGCATTGATCAACTAGTAGACTCAACAACAAGGCATGAGCGCATGAGCTTTCTAGACGCTTATAGCGGTTATCATCAAATACCACTGTTTGGTCCGGATCAAGAAAAGACAGTGTTTATCACTCTGAAAGGGACTTACTGCTACAGAGTAATGTCGTTCGACCTCAAGAACGCTGGGGCGACCTACCAGCGAATGATCACTCGGATGTTCAAAGACCAACTGGGGAAAACCATGGACGCCTATATAGACGATATGGTAGTAAAAAGCAAGTTCGCTACAAACCACCTCACTGACTTGAGAGAAGTTTTTAGCATCCTGAAAAACTACCAGCTTCGCCTCAATGCCTCGAAATGTGCCTTCGGGGTAGGAACAGGGAAGTTCTTGGGTTACATGGCCGCTCACAGAGGAATTGAAGCGAATCCGGATCAAAGCAGGGCAATACAGGATCTCGGAGTGCCAACAAAGTCTAAGGAACTGCAGAAACTAGCCGGAATGGCGGCCGCACTGAATCGGTTTATTAGCAAATCCTCAGATCGGATGAAGCCCTTATTCCAGCTTTTGAGGAAAAAGGCAGCATTTGAATGGAGTAGTGAATGTACCGAAGCACTGCAGAGCCTTAAAAGATACCTCAGTACACCTCCTCTACTGTTCACTCTAGAACCGGGAGAGGAGCTGTACCTCTATCTAGCAGTCTCAGATCATGCCGTGAGCGCAGTACTGATTCGAGAAGTTGACAAGGAACAGAGACCAGTATATTATGTTAGCAAGACTTTACTAGATGCCAAGACACGGTATCTACCACTGGAAAAGTTAGCTTACGCGCTGCTTATCGCCTCAAGAAAGTTGCAACATTACTTCCAGGGGCATACCATTAACGTCCTCACTGAATTCCCCCTCAGATCTGTATTCGGCCGAGCCAATTTCTCTGGCTGAACAGCAAAGTAGGTGGTAGAACTTAGTGAGTTTGACATTCGGTATCAACCTAGGACAGTAATCAAGGCCTAGGTCTTGGTGGATTTTGTCGCAGAATTTACTCCCACCTAGAGTATCAAACCAGGGAATCTGAGTTCGGCACAGGTGCCATGCGCCACCGAACAAGGAAAACTCAGCACTTCGGAAGCATGAAAACTCTTTATTGAAAACATCTAGCAACTCTACGTCGATGGTTCGTCCAATAACCGAGGCTCGGGGGCAGGAGTAGTTCTTATTTCTCCAAAAGGATTTATCTGGGAACAGGCTCTCAGGCTAGGCTAGAAGGCTTCAAACAACGAGGCCGAGTACGAAGCGTTATTGGATGGCTTGCGTAGTGCCGAACACTTCAGTGCAGAACAACTTCTTGTTTTCAACGACTCACAACTAGTGGTAAACCAGCTTTTTGGGGTCTATGAAACTCGAGATGAAAGAATGGCTATGTACGCAGGCAAAGCCAGAGACCTACTCAGAAAATTTCAATCTATACGAGTGGAACGAATCAGTCGGGACAAAAATAGCCACGCAGATGCTCTGGCATGCCTTGGCTCATCAGTGGATACAAAGGATGCCAGAAGAGTTTGGGTTGAGTTTGTACCAGAACCAAGTATTGCATCTCGAGTCCTCTGCAACAACTTAGAGCCGAGCTGGATGGATCCAATATTGGTCTTTCTGAAATCTGGTAAACTCCCTGAAGACAGAAGGGAAGCCAACAAGATCAGGCATAAATAAGCTCGATTCTGGATCTCACCGTCTGGGAAACTATACAGACGTTCCTACCTTGGCCCCTACTTCCTATGTGTGCATCCAAATCTCGTCGAGAATGTTCTCTACGAAATTCACGATGGGATTTGTGGATGCCACGTTGGCAGAAGGTCACTGGCGCACCGAGCCCTCACTCACGGGTACTGGTGGCCACGGATGCAACAAGATGCACAGCAGTACGTATAGAGGTGCGACAAATATCAGAGGTTTGCTCCACTCATTCATCAGCCAGCCAAAACTCTCACTCCATTCACCAGTCCACGGCCCTTTGCGCAATGGGGCCTGGTTATTGTTGGACTATTGGCGCGAGGCACTGGGAACAGGCGATTCTTCATTGCTGCAACCGACTATTTCACCAAGTGGGTTGAAGTTGAGGCACTGGCAAGCATCAAAGAGGCCGACACAAAGTGGTTTGTTTTGAGAAATGTGGTAGTGCGTTTCGGTATTTCGCGGGTACTGATTGCGGACAACGGAACACAGTTCGATGGTAAGATCTTCAGAAAATTTTGTGCCAACCTCAGAATTGAGTATAGGAACTCTTCTCCAGGGTACCCGCAGAGCAATGGTCAGGTAGAAGCGTCGAACAAAACCATCATCAACGGAGTGAAAAAGCGGCTTGAACATGCCAAAGGCAAATGGGTTGAAGAGTTACCTCACGTATTATGGGCCTACCGAACTACAGCACGACGCCCCACAGGAGAAACACCTTACTCTTTAACCTATGGAATGGAGGCCATCATCCCACTTGAAGTAGGTCTGCCAACCCTTCGGTCTGAATTATTTGAAAGCTCCAGTAATGAGGAAGCTATCGCGCAAGCACTGGATATGGCAGAGGGCCGAAGAGAGGCAACGCTGATCAGACTTGAAGCATATCAGCAGCAGCTCATCAGAAGTTTCAACCCAAAAGTTTTCCCAAGGCAATTTATACCAGGAGAATTGGTTTTGAGGAAAGTCATGGATCACAAACGGGTGCCTAGTGAGGGCAAACTTGGGCTGAACTGGGAAGGTCCGTATAAAATCACAGCCGTTGTTGGAAATGGAGCTTATTACCTAGAGGATCTGAATGGCAAAGCAATACCTCGGCCCTGGAACGTAGCAAACCTCAAGAAATACTATCAATAGAATCATCCCCTAACTTCTCTATCAGGATGTAAAGGCACTTACTTGTTGACCAATGCAAATGTTTTTCCACTCCTCTCAGATTTATCCAATTCTTGTAATTAGCTTTGATGTTTATCAAATGGAATAAGCTTTGGCTCCCACCAAACGGAATCAGCTTTGGTTCTTACCAAACAGAATTAGCTTTGGTTCTTACCAAACAGAATTAGCTTTGGTCTCTACCAAACAGAATCAGCTTTGACGTGTATCAAACGGAATTTGCTTTGGTCTTTACCCAACGGAATTAGCTTTAATGTTTGTCAAACGGAATTAACTTTGGTTTTAACCCAAATGGCTCAGTTTCAGAACGACTGAACGGAATTTAAATTTGGTTAGCACTCAAACATGCTAAGTGGTATAGCTTGATGGAAAAATGTTTGGCAACTAAATTGGAATTTAGCCAAGTGAAATTGCTTGGTGGAAACCGCACTAATGTATCTTAAGTAAACATCTCTATTTAGCCAAGTGAAATTGCTTGGTGGAAACCGCACTAATGTATCTTAAGTAAAATATCTCTATTTAGCCAAGTAGAATTGCTTGGTGGAAACTACATTGACATATCTTAAGCACACATCTTTGCACCTACAGAACTTCTTAAGTATCAGCACATCAACACTTCAGTATTGATTCAAACCAACAGAGTTGGAACAAACTCAACTGAGCTACGTCAAGAGTAAGCTTCTAGCATCAGCCTTACTCAGCTCCAGCTGGGGGCAAACAATTGTTTTTTTTTTTTTTTATATAAAAAAAACCTACCTGGACCTGAGTAAGACATCCCTCTTTGCATTTCTCTCATTCAAATGCACTTGTACTATCAAAGTTGAAACAGACTCAAGCAGTTCTATACAAGGGACAACTCTTCAGTATCGATCTTACTTAGCTCCAGGTGAGGGCAAACAATTGTTTTCTTTCGAAACCAACTTGGACCTAAGTAAGACCCACTTACGAACTCAAAGCACAGCCATACCACATATCCGTTAGCCACGCCGATCACTAGTTTGGCCCCGAGGTCCCAACAGTGCTCGGCCAGGGGCAAATAGTGCAGTACCACACCGAGCATCAGTCCGGCCCCAAGGCCCCAACAGCGCTCGGCCGGGGGCAAGCAGTACAAAAATCAGACAGAGCATCTATTTAAAAACAGTATAGAATCAGACCGAGCACCTATTCGACCCAAAGGTCCTAACAGAGCTCAGCTGGGGGCAAGCAGTATAGAATACATTCAGACATAAAAGCCAAACAACATCAAATTGCAAGTTCAAAGAGAAAATTATATCATCCAGCAAAGGGCACAGAAGACCTCACAACCAGCAGCAAAAAAAAAAAAAAAAAAAAAGAAGGAAAAATTGTCTTGATAAAGTGAAGAAAGAAAGCCCGTCATGGAAACCAAGCCACAATACACCAAAACAGAAAAGCAAAAAGTTCAAATCCTTTCAACATCAATTTTCATCAACAGTGGGTAACTCAGGAGCAGCATCAGTAATTTTGTCCAGGCCATCTGCGGGAGAAAAAGTAGAGGAAGCTCCAACTTCCTGAGAAGTAGGAGCCACCTTAACCACATCTCCCGTGGCTTCGGTCTCTAGGGTTTCAACCCCTTGAACGTCCACCGTTTCAGTGGCAACATTCATGCTTAGGGTCTTGCTTGTAAAATCATCTTATGGGGAAACATCGTTTGGTAGAACAGCAGGGGTAGAAATAGTCTTCAAACCCAAGGATCTCGAAGGAACAGGGACATCATGATACAGGGAAGAGCCTTCAGGAACCATTGCAGCGGCTAAGGCACTCGTCCAACCCTTTACAAAGATCTTGTCTCGCAGCACTAGAACCTCATCCTTGTACGCCGTCCCAGCTTCATCCCAGCCTTGTTGCTAGTGCTTGGCCTCTAGCGCAGTACGCTCGGCAGCCATTACGGCAATAACGGCTTCCAGTTCGGCCACCTTCCCCTCGAGTTGAGCCTGTGTCCCAATGGCATCCTCCTTCGATTGTTCAGCAGAAGCGACAATCTTGTTCAAACGAAAGGCTTCCCTCTCAGCGGTTCGGCGTCCTTCCTTCTCTGACTCCAAGTTTACCGTCAGTCTCTCTACGTTCATTGCAGCCTCCAGCACGGCCCTTTCCAGCTCTTTAGCACGGGTAATGGACAGGTGCATTCTCTGGATACACTGCAAAGAACGACAAAGAACTTAGAAAAAAGGAAGACAGCAACGCAACAGCGAAGTTAAGTAAAGCGAAGAAAACACTTACAGCAGTCATCATTTGAAGGGTCCCCTTCAAGATAGGAATGTCACGAGGCCCATTATGGTCGGCCATATCAACCGGCAACAACAAAAACTTGGTCAAATTAAAGGCAAAATCTTGTGAAGCGACAATTGAATCAGAAATGGAAATGGGCCTGCCATCGTGCGATATTGGCGGCTCCCATTTCTCAAAAGCATCATCCTCAGTAGGATCCTGAGAAGCTTCCCCTACTACTGCTTTGCCAACCTCCCTTCTTCTCTTTTTTGCTCGTGCAACGACTGAATTTGAGGGCTCGATAGTAGTCACAGGGGTCCCAAAAGCTCCAACTTTCATCTTTACATCCATAAGGCTCTTCACCTCGGTCTTCTCCAGAGGGGTTTGCAAAGTACCGGAGGCTCCGAAGGCCTCGGCCTCTAAATCCACCAACACCCTTCTCTTCGCCACAGACCCGCTCCCTGCGAAACTGGGGGCAGGGGAGGGCGTTCTCTCAGAAAATGCATCTTGACTCTTGCGATGGCTCGAGACCAGAGGGGTGAGAGACGTGTCAGTCTCAGTATTAGAGTCCAGAAGGGCAGCCGCGAGCCTTGCCTTCTTTGGAATAACGGAACGGTAAGTTGACTGGTAGTCCAATAACTCAGGTGCAGATCTCTTTTTATACCTCAAGGCAGCTTTGATGGCTTCAGCATTCTCTCGGTTCGGCCTTTGTTGGAAACGGGAGGACTCTGCAAAAAGAAAGCAACCCATCAGAGCAATATTCAAAATAGAGTAAGAAACACCAAAGGCATTAGAAGGAGAGGCCCGGACCTGGGTAGCCGTCTTTCTGTGGCATCCATTCAGACTGAAACTCAGTTCCGGCGGGGAACTCCCAATTTCCACCAACTTGTAGGAAATCGTCATTGTGTTTATCCGAATCAGGTAGTCTAGTAACTAAGTGACAATTAGTCGAGCGAACACGCAGGTAATATGTACTATGGTCTTTGTTATGGGAAATGGTGTAACATCCTAAGATATCCCATATGTCAAGGTTCAGGCCCAGTCGTCTATTGAGGGCAGATATGCCGCAAACAACATGGAAAAGGTTCACAGATACTTGCATTGGGGTTAACTGGACTTGATGTAGAAAACGGCGCACTAACGGGTCAAGAGGAAACCGAACCCCTCTCTCGACTATTGCCGTGATGGGAAAGGCAACGGTGTTCCTCGTACCCATACGTTTGGCGTCTACTTTCGCCAGTGAAAGGGTAACGTCATGAGGAATATTGTAATCCAGACGGAACATAGCCATGGCCTCCGGGGTATCAACCAAGGAACGAAACTTCCCTATTCGACCAACCTAATGGGACAAAAGTAGGATTCAGATAACAGAGTATGGGACACGGATAGCAAGTGGGCCAAAAAAGATGATTAAAATAGAAAAGGGAAAGAGAAGAAGAGTCATGAGACGACTTACGGAGATCAGAACAGTGGTAGCGAAGCAGGATCAGCGGCGAAGAAGCCCAAGCAGAGCACCAACGAGATCGATCTAGAGGAATGGGAAGAAACTCTTTCTCTCTCTTTGGAACTCACTAGAGGAATGAGAAAAGTAAATCAAGGGATTTGAATTGATAGCCTGAGCATTTATTACACCAGTCGGCGTGTAGGTACACGAATCACGACCTTCAGTATGGAGTCGACGCATTATCTCTGCACACCTACACGTCGCCACGTGTTACCTGAAAGGACGCATGCAGGAATTGTGTGTCAGGATTGAATTGCCACCAAGGCCGAACTGGGGGAGAACCAAAACGACGCGACGCTTGGAAAGCCGAACAATAGCTCCCCCTAAGGGGAACCTTAGCGGGAGCTAGGGGCAAATGAAGGGATTAAATGTGAAATGGGTTAGGTCCAAGCCTTGGGCCGGTCCAATCTGACAAAGTCTGAATCCAAGTGGGTCAGATGAGTATATGGACAAACCAGTTGAGCCCAACTTCATGATCAACAATCCACCCAAGTCTTCAAGCACTTGGGCCCAACCCGCAGTGGAAAGGCTAGCCCAGCCGTAGTGTTGGTTTGGGCCGAGCTGCGAAACGGAATCTGTGGGTCGAATAGATAATGGGCCAGCCCATCTTCATGAATGATCCTGAAAAAGACCGAGCTGAGGCACATCAGTACCGAACTGAAGTACATGAGTACCGAGCTGGAGAAACCTCACAAGGAAATGTGGGAGCTGTGAGTGCAAGCATGTGCAGGTTGCCACCTCAGCTGGTCCCCCACACCTAGAATCACAGAAGTTGTAAAACTAAAGGAATGTGATTTGTTATTAGCATGCCTACAATGAGTATATGTAATCAATGACAACTACCAAGTGGTCCCCCACCTGGAGCAGTGCTGAAAGGACACCTGGCAGCATCCACATTCCATGAAACCACCTTGAGAAGCAAGTAAGGAATACTATATATATTTCATAAATTTCACATTGAAGGTAACTGAATTGAACTGAACTAAGGAGATCTGTTCTAATCACACTTAACATACATTCCTTCTCCGATCACTGATTCCTAAGCCGAAGGGGTTATCCGGCCGACCCCGGTCGGGCAGCTCTAACGGTGCTTCTTGTGGCAGGAGTCCCGGTCCCTGGATAGTCTAACTGAGTGCGGAGCCCCGATTCACTTTCATCTAGTGCGGAATCCGATACACACATTTCCCAAGAGGGTTGCTATATTATTTGATTTTTTTAATACTACAATATTCATTGAAAAAAAATCATATAAAACAATAATAAAAAATTATTGACATAATATATTTTTGAAAAAATAACAATACATTATAGGTTTAGAAAAACAAAAAGTTTACAAACTTTAATAATTAAAATGTTAGTTTATTTTTTTTATGGAATTGTAATTTTCTTAAAAGTTATTTGAATTCTAATTTTTACTATTTTTTTAATAAATTTTGAAAGGATGGGCCACGGCCGCTTCACTTCTCCCAAATTCAAAGTGATACAAAGGCTCGTCACAACTGAGTATGAATGACCAATAGAAACAAGCCACGCATAACCAAAAAGAAAAAAATCAAGGAAAAATACTATAGGCCTAAAATAAATTATCAAATATTCTACTAAATTTTTTATAAGATCCATACACATGTAATTTATATGAGTCTCATATTTAATAAAATATTTGATAATTTATTTGAGATTTATACTATAACTCAAAACCGAGTAATACATTCACCAGCACGAACACGGGTCCTTTTTCCATTAGTTTTTTGAATTAGGATTTCCTTATTGTATTTTTTATTTACAAGTTCATTGAATTCACTTTCAGGCTCAATTTTGATAAGTTGAACCGTTCATATTTTAAGATTTGTTTAGTATATCATACTTGTAAAAAATCAAGTTGATCGGATATCAGAAAATATGTGTTTGAAAAACTTGAACTAAAAACTATTTTTTTAAAGAATTTAATAAATAATTTTTCGAACAAATACTTTATGATATTCGATCAACTTAATTTTTTATAAATATAATATATTGAATAAATTTTAAAATGTGAACTGTTCGAATTATCAAAATTAAATTTAAAAGTAAAACCAATAGACTTGCGAATGAAAATGTAAAGAAGAAATACAAGGAGAGGATCCTTGCTGTTAGATCCTCACCCTTCTTTCTGACAGCCCGTCCCTATCCACTCTCAATTATGAAAGTGTTCGGAGGGAGGGTCGAGTAAAAATAACTTACCTAAAAAATAAAATAGTTAACAAAGTAAAATATTATATATAATTCACGGTGGTGTTTGTGAAGTAAGTTTCCAAATTTTTTTCTTATTTTTTTTATTAAAAGATAAAAGTTTTACAAAATTAAAAAAAACACATTCAAATAAAATATCACATTCAATCCTATAATCACTTCACTTTTTCTTTCACAAACATTACATCCAACCACATAAAAATCCAACTATCTTCTCAAACACCAAAAATTTTTTATCTCCTAAAAACCCACATCTAATAAAATCTACATAAAAACTCACTTCCCAAACACCATCAATGATTTTATTTCTTCTTTCAATTATTAATTAATTAAAAAAATGAATTAATTTTTTAAATACAATTATTTTAACTAATCTAAAGTAATAAAAAAAAAAAAATGAAATAGGGAAGTAAAATAGCCGACCCCCATACAGGGCCAAATCTCTCTCTACTCTTCTCCAAATCTACTGAAAAAAAAAAAAAAATGGAAACAGGAGAGAACTGTTCTATTTCCGACTGGGATCGACCCTTAACGGACCAAGAACTCGAAGCCATCGAAGCTGCATTCCAATCCGCTACTACCTCGTCATCTTCGACTTCTTCTCCAATCAAGCAACGCCACGTTCCCACTCGGAACGACGGCGGAGACGGAGACCGCCCGACGGCTCGGCGGCGGTTGCCGGGCTCGATCGCCAGTGAATTCCGCCGAGGCGATGGCTCTGGAAGTGAGAGCAATTCGATGATGTGCGTCTCAGATTCGTTCTCTCTATTGCCGTGTCCGAGGAATCGATTTTTTGATGCCTGTCATTCTTCAACTCCAGGTAAATGTTTTTATTTTGCTTTATTTTATTTTTTGTCTCTCATTTTTGATTGGCTGCTGTGGAAAAAGTTAGCTCAATCAAGCAAATATAGTTGTAATAAAATGCTAAAAATGTAGAAAGTAATGGTAGAATGTAAACTAAATTTCCCTCAAATTTGTGTGTTGCAAACATTTGAATCTGAACTATTCCTTTCACATTCTATTATGTTTTTGCTAAAAAATGCTTTTAATTTTTTTTTAATAAAAATAATAAATTAATTCTGAAATTAATTGAAAAAAATACCGCACTTTTTAAAATCACTATTTAAAATTGTCATTTTAAGTAAAACCACAATTTGAAAATGTGATTTTGAGCTGTGTTGGATTGGCAAGTTTGAAATTTGAACTTGCAATTTCAATTTTTGGGAAACTACTAAAGATATAAAGAAAAAGTGCCCCATTTTGTACACGTGACCGTTCTATTAATCTGTTGCATAGGCATGAAGAGTGAAATCACAGATTGAATTTGCAGTTCTAGCTCAAATTGCAACTTGAACATGTGATTTCACCTTGCTATGCTGGCTAAATTGTCAAGATGATGTTCAACTTGATACAAAATCGCAACTTGAAGATGCAATTTGTGATAAATCATGATTTTAAGTTGCAATTTTAAAATTGCTGTATTTTGCCAAATAGTTTAGGCATTGCAGTCTTTTTATATATTTTATCAAGAAAGAAATTTTAAGCCAAAAGACCCCTATTATTTGCTACATTTCAGTTTTATTCCATTCCATACTAGCAGACAGAAGAGTCCTGAAGAATACTTCCATCCTTGGGCATAAATGAAGTTACGGCTAGAAAGTTTTGTTCAGGAGTGTTCTTAAATGTTAGGGACAACATGCCTGCTAAGCACCGTACAATATTGGGGGTGGTCTTGCTGCATAGAAATTGGACGTGAGTGATTCTGTTTTAGCTTTTTATTTAATGCAGATGTCAAGATCATTTTGGCAATACTGGCATTGTAAGCTATTATGCCACATTAAAAACATAGCAGATGCAATGAATCATATTTTCAATAGCTGTTGTGGTTCTAAATTGGAAATGCAATATGTAGGCCCTCTCCAAGAGGTTAAGGAATCGAGTCGTACTGGTAGGCGTTGAGAGGGTTCTGTTGTATATGGATGAATTTCACTTCAACATGGATGCCATGTGTGTTGATTGATACCTGTCTCAGTTACCTGGCAATAATATAAACAAATTTAATTTGATATTTCTGAGGATAAGCTTCACTTACTTTTTATTGTAATTGTGAGGAAGTTTATCAAATGACACTTTTATGCTGAATTCCTTGCTCTTTTCCCCCATGTTTTCTCCACTACATAACACTTCAAAACTACTTTTTGTGCATCTTTCTGGATCCATAGCAAAATAAAATTAATGATTGAAATCTGTTTCTTGTTAATTAATCTGAGTTTTGTTAGGAAAGAAACAAGTTTTAATATCTCGACCTTCTTTGTCTTCTCTATGTCAGCGAAGTTAAAGATGAGATACCCAACAATGACTTTCAAAGGTCAAATTGTGTATAGCAGAACTTTTGGTGATGTAGAGAAAGCTGCGAAAGAGCTTTTAGAGATTGTTGAAACCAGAAAGAGAGGAGTGGATCAGGTCATTCTCGGATTTGACATTGAATGGAGGCCCACATTTAGAAGAGGTTTGTGCAGTATATGATGATGTATCATTTTCTCATGCTTTAAGTTCGTATTTTCTATCTAATCTCTGCAAATTTGATTCATATGCATGATTGAAAGTTTTACTTTGTTATCTTGTTCTTTAATGTGCAATCCAGTGGGAAATGAAAGCACCAATTCTTTGTAGCTATTCACAAATATGTTATAGCTAAACTCAACTTAGCTTGAATCCCAACATTTTCGTTTGTTTGTAGTTTACCTCTATTTGATGATTTCTGAAGACCTTTACATGCAGAATTCTTTTAAAAAATTATGTCCTTAAAATGAATTAGTTTATTTCTTTTTCCTCTCAAGTCTATTTTATTACAAGTTTTTCGTAGCTTGGGGAGGGGTGAGTCTTGCCTGTGGAAAAAACTTAAACCATTGACCCTATGTTACCTGGAATGTAGATCATTCCAGTACGTGGAACGGGAATGAGAACGTGGTACACCACATGTTCTAAAATATGGTATGATAGGGATAGACTTGTATATATTATACTTAAGAATTTAAGGTACTTCTAGAGTAATTTTTTTTTAACTATTAGATATCTAATAAAATATAATATTTTCTGATGGGCGTAGCCCAGGAAGGCCCAATCCACCTTTGTCCTAAGCCCCCCAGACAGTCGCACGATTAAAGCCCAGTAGCAATGAGAAGCCGATGTTGGCCCAGGTCCAATAGCGTTTAGACACCTGTCAGGAAGGAGGTCAGCCATGTAGCAGACAAAGATCCTATAGAGTTATTGACCTCGCACATCAGCCATTAAATGAGGCTGTCATAGCATTAAATGCAACAGGACCTCTCACGACCGGAGTATGCAAAATCACCGTGACCGATAGCAACTAGGTTATAGACTTTCGCCCAATGAGATAGCTTGGAATAGATAGGGAAATGATTAGTAAGGGATATAAGGAAGCTTCCGAAGTACGTTTGGTAATGAGTAATACTTTCTCTTTCTTCTCCTTCTCTCTGGCGACTCTCGTTTTTCTCTATTCACACTTCTTCCGATAATTTCCTGTCTAACTTAGCCGTCGGAGAGTCCACAGGGAGGGACCACTCCAGTTTTGGTACCTTCCCATTGGACCTTTGGAACACTAAATTTATTATTTTGGAATGGAAGTATACCATGTTTCGGAACGTGCGTACCAATATGTAATTCGCTAGGATATTAACATTTTCTGGTAACATAGTGTTGACCTCCTAGTGAGGTGCTGGGTTCTCCCAACTAGGCTAGCCCTAATTGGTTATGAGTTTTCCTCCTCGATGGAGTAATGTATTTTTTTTGACATTAGATTTTCTTTTTATTTTATTTATATGTTTCTTATCTAATTATAGAGATGCCCTAGGAAAATGCTGCCTAAGGGAGGAGAGAGGAATTAGATATAGGAAGTGCCTTGCAAATCCAAAACACAACTTCTTCCAAATTGCGACCTAAGCACACTAGTTAAGGGGGCATTTGGTAAAGTTTATATTTTACAAAAATTTGAGTGTGCAGAATTTGAGATGAACAAATTTATCAATCAGGCTCGCACATTTGGGACAGAGCAGTGACTTTGTTTCCTAAAGTTGATCAGTTCTGGTACATTCACATAGAAGATTCCTTTTCTTGAGTGTTTAATTTTGGAATGTCAGCATTTAGAGTGTAGACTGTATTTCTATTGCCAGATCATTACAGAAAGAAACATGATCTCTGCAGGTGTTTCACCTGGAAAGGCTGCAGTTATGCAGATATGTGGGGACACTAGTCATTGTTATGTGATGCATATAATTCATTCTGGAATTCCTCAAAATTTGCAAGCTCTTCTTGAAGATCCTACTTCTGTGAAGGTTAGTTAAATCTGTAGTCTTAGTAGCTTTTGACCTTGCTGCATGTACTGTCTTATCTATTTTCTGGATTCTACATATTGTTGTCTATTTTAATATACTGCCTAACACATGCATAGGTGGGGGTGGGCATTGTCAATGATGCTTTTAAGGTTTTCAAAGATCATAATGTATCTATAAAAGGTTTGGAAGATCTGTCTGGGCTAGCCAACCAAAAGCTTGGTGGAGATCCGAAGAAGTGGAGTCTGGCATCACTAACTGAAATGCTTATCTGCAAACAGGTTAACATTCTAGGTGTCTTCTATGAATAATTTATTTCGCCATCTCATATACCTGATTGTCATCTTTACTTTGTTTTAGCCAATCTTGACTGTCTCAATTGGAGAGCCAGTCCTCCCCTTCACTCTCTCTTTACCAGACACTATTGTCTTAAAAAGTCTTTCCTGCTGTGACAAGCATATGTCGAAAATCTGATTCATGGATCACATTTTTTTGCATTGTCAGAGTGTACTGCCTCCACAATTATAGCTTCAACTGGCTCTTCTATGTCAATATGGAAAATCATTCTTTTTAATATCTACAGACCCTTTTTTAATTTTGTTTTCTCTCCTTTTCTTTTTGCCCCCTGTTTTTAACTGGTTGACATTAAGGTATCTGTGAACTTGGTCAGTACTAATTGGTTTGCATTTATGTAATGGAAACCTATCATGAGGTCAACTTCATGTGGCATGTGCCCAGTACATTTAGGTCCAATCTTGCACACAAATTGAGACACATGACAAGTTTCCACACCAAAGTTTAATTAGATCAAATCATGCATGCTGGTCACAGATGAGCCCTTCCTCTCCTTGACCCGGTTCAATTCTGTTTCGTTTGTGTTGTTTGATTGGCATGTAGGGGCCCATCTTTGGTTTTTTCCCCCCTATTTTTGTCACTAGGACCATCTTACTGAGTGAAAATGTTTACATGGTGCATGTATGGTAATTTGTTGCCTAGGCAGCAATTAAGGAGAACTCGTCAGAAGATCCATGAACTTGACCCATGCTAGAATTCCTCTTTATGTGATGAACTGTTTTCTACTTTGATTATCATCCTTTCTTGAGGTGGTGGGTAATTGGTTTGGGTTTGTCTAGTTGATGTGGTATGTTTCTGGTTATGTTTATCTTTCTTAATTTCTAAACTTGTTTTTGTGTTTTTGCTTCTAAGTTGCCAGCTGGCTTAGCCAATAAAGTCTATTGGTGTTGATGTCACAGATCTGGGATCAAATTTTGCCTTCCTCTGGTCCTTGGGGTGGGGGTTTATGGAAGCTATGGTTTTAGTCGAAGTTATGTATTATCCTTCCTAGTTTCTAGTCACATCATCACCTTTGCCATTTTACTAGCTTTTTTATTAATAAAACTGATTACAATTGAGTGCATCTAAGAGCATTGTAACAAGGTTACTGAACATTTGATGATGCAAATAGAGCATTCATGGGGAATCATAATGAGGCTTGTTGAGCGGTTCCTTTAGTTGTTTGACCACATGCCACTCAGTAGTCAAATTAAAAACAGCCTGTATCCATGAATCCTCATAGTTGAATTTGTGGATTGGTGAGATGAGTTTGCTAATTAGCTGTGTGGATTGTGACTTAGAGGGCTAGGGTGAAAGATTGGCTTACTTAGATCTATATTGCGTAGCCTCTTTGCTGTGATCTTGTTCTAAACAGATTTTTTTTTTTTGCACCTTCCTTCCCTCTTTGTTTCCGTATGTTACTTTGAACCCAAATCAACTTTCTAATTTTTTTTTTTTTAAAACCGTGTCCATGAAGTGTCCTCAATGTGTCCAAAAGAAAAAAAAATAATAAAAAATTGACACACCACATGATGTGTCCGTTCTTCCTAGCCCCATGATATTCTTTGCAATTATAATAAATTTTGTTTGAGATCTTACTGAAAGTTCTCTGATGTTGCAGCTTCCAAAGCCTGAAAAAATTAGACTGGGAAACTGGGAGGCAGATTTTTTATCGAAGGAACAACTAGAATATGCTGCCACTGATGCTTTTGTTTCTTGGTACCTACATCAGGTAAATGAAAATTACAATTATCTTCCTCACATATTTTTTATTGTCATATTGTGGGTGAAAAAACTATGTTCCCTTTTATTGTTGCAGGCGCTGAATTGTCTCCCCGATGCCGCTGATAACAAATGTGAAGAACTGGGAAATGAGCCATTACAATGATTGTTGTACTTTTATTTATTTATTATTTTACAGATAGTTATGTCGGCATTGTCTTGTTGCTACAGAGTACTCAACATCAGCTGTTATTGTTGAATTAACACAATTTTCGAATCCTGTTAGTAAAAAAATATCTATTCAATGGGGTCACCACCATTGATGAGAGAGGTCATGGTATTGTCCGAATTTGATCCGAAAATGTGGGGTTATCTCTGGGGCGGATCATGTTGAAGCTGTTAGTGCATGGGAAGCAGTTCAATTCACAACAGTTTGTGGCCTTCGTGTGTCTTCAAATTACAGCGCATGAGGCTGGGTTGCAATGTATGGACGTGGACAAGGTTCCACCATCAGATTTCATTCTCATGTTGTCTGAAGCAATGAACTCTTTGTAATCTTTTGGCTTGATGCCCACAATTGGAAAAAAAGAAAAGAAAAAAGAGTAGTGCTGAAATTGCTAGATTATTCTTCATATAATTAGATTGTTAAATGATCTATAATATTCAACAAGCTCTGCAAGGCTTGGAGTTTTTCCTAGTATGGCTTAAGTAGGCTATGTGTATGCTTAAGGCTGTGTACTTTACTTTTCCTGTGACTGAGAAACAAAACAGTTATGAAAAGGTGTTTTGGTTTTGGAATGAATTGTTAGAGCCTGATATTGATACTTTTGGATGTACTTTTTTCTACAAAATACTAGTTTAGTTTTTTCTAGTTAGAGTATTGATTTTGTTTCCCCATACATATATATATATATATATATATATATATATATTTGTTTTTTCTAAGGTAAACCCAATGTGAGATTAATTTTAGGTTTGCAAATTATTAAGTGTTAAATTTACCCTAATTTAAAGTGATTGGTTTTATTGGAATCCCCAAGTTGATGATTTATTGGTGGAAACTTGGGAGTGTTTTGTCAAGCTAAAACATGTGCATGTGTAGGGCCAAAGAATCCTCCAATTAGAAACTGATGTGGGGAAGAAAAAGAGAGATGGAGAAGTGATATGCATGTGAGTGGGGCCTACCATTGCATGAGAGTGTCAATCAATGGTATTATTATTATTCAGTCTCTCTATTGTGTGGGGAGGACCATGTGATGTGAGGTTTTGAGATATATATATATGCGTTCGAAATGGACAAGTTTAGACAGACAATCAAGGTGAATGACTGTGACTGACCAATATGGGTCATAACTCAATGAAGTTGCCATTAAAGTAATTATTTTTTTAATCAACAGTAAAAATAAGAAAAATGATGTAAGGTATTAATTAGTGGTTGCACTAGGGATGTAGCAGTATGTCTCACTTATTGCCACATGTGTTTTGTGTCTTAGTTTTTGTTTTTTTTTTTTTTTTTTACTTGCCACATCATTAGTGGTGGTGTTAGTGATAAAAATTTAATGATCTGTAACATTATTGGTAAAAATAATTGATCAAGTAATCACTACATTACTAGGCAAATTAAGGGTTCGTTTGGTTTGAATTTCGGAAAATTTTTTGAGAAATTTTCTCTACAAATAAGTTTTTAAAAGTAATGAAACCAAACAAATTTTCTCAAAAAAATTTCTCAAAACTTGTAAACCAAACAAGTTTTCCAAACAAATTTCTCTCTCACACACATCAAATCAATCACTTTTTCCAAAACTCTCTCTCAAAATAATTTTCCAAAACATCTTTTGAAAAAAACCAAACCAAACAACTTTTCATACTTTTTATCTCTAAAACACATCTCTCAAACACAAACCAAACATATCCTAAATTCTTATAACAGCATCTCTCCAACATTGCTAAAAAATTGAAGCCTAAGGGCCAATGGCAGGGCATCCATGTATGCTGTAAACTAGGGCTGAGTAAGAAATTCATAAAATTTGTAATTCGATTCAGTTTAGTACAATTCGATAGGTTTGGATTGATTTTTTAAATCCGTGATTCGGTTTCGGATTGAAAAATTAAAAATTCGTAGTCTACGGATTGGTTTCGGATTGAGCCCCATGGTTCCGGATTGGAACCGATCCGGACCGTATATAAATAGTCTATATTTTTATTATACATCCTTTCCCATAGTATCTTCTCTTATTTTATATAAAACCTAAACTCAAACCTAAACCCTGTATAATATCTTCTTTTATTATTTTTATTTGTTAGTTTTTAGTTTTAATTTGTAATGGTGAAATCAGTTTTCTTATGATTGTTTAAATTCTTGAATATTATGTCGTTATTATAGAAAAACATGTTGTTATTGTGGAACTAATATAGCGCTATGTTTATGTTTTTATGAAATTAAAGTGTCATATATATATATATATATATTTGTTATTTAATTATGTTAATCTGTGCTCTTAAACCGATCCAATCCGTATTTAAATGGATTGGTTCCATAATTTAAACAGATTAGATTAGTTCCGATTTTTCAAGAACCTTAGATAACAGATTGATCCTGATTTTACCCCAATCCAATATAATCCGGGCCATGCTCACCCTTACTGTAAACCAATGAAATACAGCATTTATTTTTCTTAAATTTGAAATGGCACTTTTCTTGGGCAACCCAGAAGAAGAATAGGAAAGACAAAAGCTCAAGACACCCTCACTAAATAATAATAATAACAAAACTGAAATTATTACTGTCATCTCTGAGGCTTAAGTTTGTTTTGGGCCATACTCAGCCCAATAATTGAAAAGGCCCAAAGTCTGTGGAAAACAATGGGCTTCAAATATAGGGTGCAAACTTGGGAACTCAATATACCAACAAATTATCACATAGATCCACCTTATATGCATGATATGTCCTTATAATTCTATTGGTTACATATCCATTATTTATTTATTTATTTATTTTTTTCTCCTATTTATTATATAAAGCAACTAATATAATTAGTTGGGCACACAACCTAATTAAAATTTATGGAAGACAGGATAATTCATCCAATCCACCATTCCCGTTGAATAGCTCAGCTGGATGGAGACCAGGACCTTAGCCTAAATTCATTTTGGGCTGAGATAATTAGACAATTAATGCTAGATTCAATTCCAAAAAAAAAAAAAAAAAAACAAATCATGGTATTAGTAACACATGATATCACTATCTAATTAGAAATCACTAAAGCTGTGCTTGATTTATAGATTTTGATAGTAATTTGGAAAGAAAAAGGCAAAAGGTATATGAAAGGTGTGTGAAATATAACTATATTTCATTTACATTTTATCTATCTTTTCTTTTTTCTATCCAAATTTCTTACTAAATTTATGAATTAAACACAACTTAAATATAATGGGTGAATCCCATTCCCATCACATAGATGTGGGAGTTACTGAACATATCTTAAATTTGATAATTACATCTACATGGTAAAATTCATCTTTTTCATTTCACGTTTTGTAATTAGATAGTGACATCATGACAATAACAGTATGTTTTTCTCCAGGTTCACATGGTGCTCTTTTTGGGACAACGCAATTCCTAGTTGAGAGGAGAAAAAAAAGAAAAAAAAGAAAGAAATTGTGAATGTCCTAAGTTAACCAAATATCAATGTTAAATGCAAAAGATAATTGCAACCATATGAGGATCTGATTAAATATAAAACGTGTTTTAATTAGAAGCCCAACATGAATTATGGCTATAGAGTGGATGCATATCTTCATATTTTAGTAGAATAGTTAGAAATCAATGTTAGGTTAGGTTCCAGTAAATTACATATATTCAGTATAAATAAATTAAACTTGTTTGATAAATATCACTTAAAATTTTAAGTACTTCTTAAAAATATATTACAATTTTAAGGCCGTCATCCTTCTACTACCAACACGATTGTCGACACAATTACTCTATTATATCACAACTACACGACTATCACTACCATCATTGTGAGAGGCAATTTCTTTTTATTTTTTTGGCTAAAAAAAGGGCTTGTTATTGCTAACAAGTAGCATGAAATTCAACTTTGAACTCTTCAATAACTAGCTAAATTTTGTGTCAAATTTAGGAGAAGGTATATCTATAGCAAAAAATTGACACTCTTTTATTTCTACCTTTTTTTTAAAATTTATTTATGATAGAACTCACATATAGCATTTTTATTTAATATGTTGAAACAAATATAGAATAAATAATATTTACATTATTGAAACAACATTGATAAAATATAATATTTTAACACTATTCATTGTTAAAATATGGCAATAACTAGCCAACGCACACTAAATGAGTTATCTTTAACTACTATTTAGCCATTTTTGACACCGTTGTATATTGCGATTTCTGATTGACATAGTACATAGATAATGTCACATAATACTCCTAAAATATCTAATAATTTTCCTAATTTTGCACCCTATTGGTAAGTCACACAACTGATGTACTGTTCCAGATCCATAATATAATTTTTCCCAATGTTCTAGGCAAGGGATTTTTATTGATAAGTCCAATTTAGAAGTGTTTTAACCCAAGAAGTCCATGAAAGAATTTTTTAACCCATTTAGTCCCATGTATGTATAGTTTTATTCCATAAAGTCATTTTTCTTGATTTACACTATTTTCTTGGACACTTATGCCCTTATATTTAATTTTGATACCCTTATAAATATTTTTTGAACGGTTAGCAATTTTATGATGTGAACATTCATATTTTAAAATTCACATTGGTAGGAATATAAAATTAGCCCGTGGACGGCCTGAAACCTGCCCGCGAACCGGGGCGGACCCAGCCTGTTGACAATGTGAATATTCACATTGACATGTGAATGTTAACATGTCAATGTGAATATTCACATTGTCAACAGGCAATGTGAATATTCACATTGTCAACAGGCAATGTGAATATTCACATTGTCAACAGGCAATGTGAATATTCACATTGTCAACAGGCAATGTGAATATTCACATTGTCAACAGGCAATGTGAATATTCACATTGTCAACAGGCAATGTGAATATTCACATTGTCAACAGGCAATGTGAATATTCACATTGTCAACAGGCAATGTGAATATTCACATTGTCAACAGGCAATGTGAATATTCACATTGTCAACAGGCAATGTGAATATTCACATTGTCAACAGGCAATGTGAATATTCACATTGTCAACAGGCAATGTGAATATTCACATTGTCAACAGGCAATGTGAATATTCACATTGTCAACAGGCAATGTGAATATTCACATTGTCAACAGGCAATGTGAATATTCACATTGTCAACAGGCAATGTGAATATTCACATTGTCAACAGGCAATGTGAATATTCACATTGTCAACAGGCAATGTGAATATTCACATTGTCAACAGGCAATGTGAATATTCACATTGTCAACAGGCAATGTGAATATTCACATTGTCAACAGGCAATGTGAATATTCACATTGTCAACAGGCAATGTGAATATTCACATTGTCAACAGGCAATGTGAATATTCACATTGTCAACAGGCAATGTGAATATTCACATTGTCAACAGGCAATGTGAATATTCACATTGTCAACA